GGGGGGGGGGAGTGCAGGAGCAGCATATTGGTCTCCGAATGATGAAACTTCAGTCCAAATAGCTATTTAGAAATGACACCGGCCACATCGTCGACCATAAGATGCTTGTCGATTAAAGGACGATGATAAAAATGCGTACGAAAATATCACTTCTCTCCTTACACCCGATTTTTCGAGAACCCTGGAAAAGGTGCGGGAATATATTGGATAAAACCTGAAGAAACAGACTGCAGCAACCAGATTGACCCTGAAAGCCTAAATGGCGAAGGTGCGATAGATTACAGCATGAAAGAACAGTATAAGAAAAGAAGGCAAGGGTCAAATAAGACATTTCGGTCCATTAAGTCATATACGTCTTAACTCAACACCGTGACAAGACCTCGTGGCAGTATGATAGTCGAAGTACTTAATGGAAAAAGAAAAGAGGAAGAAGAGGGCTAGTATTTTGTCCTGTAATATATGCGAGGAATGTGTATATCAGTTTATTAGGAGCCACAAATACATCAAAATAACGTTAAGAAGCTCGATGAGATCTTTGAATTTCTTCGATTGATGAGCTCACATACTGGGCTTACACGCTGAACCCAAACTACCGATTGTGTTGGCTTAGATTGATTTCAATCCCTCGTGCATTGCGATCAATTATGCAACCTGACCGACATGTGCGCCCTAGTCCCTGATCTTTCCGGAAAACCAGCGAAATCGGTGGTGATCTGCGCACAATAGCTAACCTTTAGACAGAAAGGCTTAGATCGGTTGTACTTGGTGTATAGGTGCATTTTAGTAATTCCAGTCACTCCATCACATAATCTTGGAGGTCGTGATAAAGGGTAATTTCACCCATCGGATAGTCTTGAGGGTTTTGGCAAAGGGTAATTTTACCCGTTGGATAGTCTTGGTGGTCATGGTGAAGGGTAATTTCACGCAGCGGATAGCCTTGTAGGTCATGGCAAAGGGTAGTTTTTCCCGTTGGATAGTCTTGGTGGTCATCGTGAAGGGTAATTTCATCTATCGGATAGCCTTGAAGGTCATGGTGAAGGGTAGTTTTACCCGTGAGATAGTCTTGAAGGTCTTGGTAAAGGGTAATTTCACCCATCGGGTAGTTTTGAAGATCATGGTAAAGGGCAGTTTCATCCAGTTGGTAGTTTTGAAGGTCATGATGAAGGGTAGTTTTACCCGTGGGATAGCCTTAAAGGTCTTGGTTAAGGCTGGTCCTTTTTTTACAACAATGACGCAGGTCTTGTACTCATACGGATTACTCGTAGCAGTGGTTTTTGAGTCTTTTTTAACTTCTTTATTTGGATATTTGGATTGGTTGTAATTCGCATCGTACGCTTTTCCAACCGTGCATTTGACAGCTTTTCCAGACGCTTTGACTGATGCAGCATCGCCTGGCCATCGACTTAATTGCAGTAGTTTTTTCTTTTTTTTGAAAGTTTTGAATTCGTAAAATTTTGAAAGCAAATAATATGTCTTACGCGTGAAACCGTGTGCTAAGAGATCCCCCACGAAGCATATTTTTCTTCGATCCAGAATGAAAAGGCATCCTAATTCTACCCCGTGTAATATTACGTAAGAAAAGTTCTGACGCCCTCACTTTTTTTCGGTTTTTTGATTTTTTTTCTTAAATTTTTATTTCTTGTTTTTCCAAGCCGAGCATTTTGCCCTGAATTTTTATTCCTTTTTCATCAAACTGAGGTCACAAGACAAGCATTTTGCATTACAGGCCGAGCAAGAAGTTGAGGAAGGACAACCCTATGATGAGGAAGCAATCGCTAGTCGATTACGGGAGGATGCTTTATCAAAACTTGCCACATTGCACAAATCGGTTGCCGACAGAGTAAAATTGAGTGGTACAGCAGTACAATATCGAGCACATAGGTTCGATTTTCCCCATTTTTTGCCCTCATTTATTTTTACTCTCATATTTTCACTCATATTTTTAGTGTGGTTGTCTTGCTTTTGTTATCCGGGTTAGAACTGTGTTAGCCTCTCGTTTTTCGGACTTTTTTGTGACTTTTTGTTATTTGGACGTTTTCTCGCTGAAGTCACCGAAAGTGCAATAACAAAGGGTCGTAAAAATAACGAATGTTTTTGGGTAATAAAATAAGTTAAAGTCTTTAACTAAGATTTTTTTAAATAGCTAAAATAACAAAAGTTTTCTAAAAGTTTTCCAAAAAATAACAATGACAAAAGTGATAAATAATAGCAAAATTAACAAATATCTGTATGCTCGTTAAAGTTATCAAGCGTACAGTAACGAAAGGTCGTAAAAAATAAAAATTTTTGGACAATAAAGTTGAAGTTTTAAAAAAAATTTTTTTAAATAAAAAGGTTAAAGTTTTCTAAAAAAACTTTCAGGAAATAATAGCAATAAATTTCTAAAATAGTAACAAAAATAATAAAAATATGCCAATAACGAGAATTTTTATGGTGTACAACAGTAAGTACGGCATTTCGCTTTGCTCGGTAATATTTGGATCCATCCAGTTGGGCTTAAGTCATAAAAGTCGGCTAGATAGAAAGCTTAATCACCAGCTTTATTTATTGGCACGTTATTCAGCGCTAACGGCAAAGAACGCTAAAAAAATGGCCCAGTATATAAGATTAATAGTTAAAGTTTCTATCTGACCGACTTGTATGATTTAAGCTGAATCGGTTGTATCCAAATGTATCCAAAAACTGTTATTTCTAGCATTTTTTGCACTCCCGTAATTCCTTAATCTGTGTGAAGAAATGTATTAGGAGCCGGTAGGGTTTTAAGTATTTTTTTTTCAGCTGATTTGGTTTTATCCAAATATTTTCGAAAAAAAAGCTTTATTCCTATCACGTTTTGCTTTCTTATGATGACCTTAATCCACATGAAGAGGGGTTTGTTAGAAGTAAATGTTTATGATAGGGATTTAGGTGGTTTTGTAGCAATTGCTAGACTTCTGTTTATAATAAGTATTTTAAGTTCCAGATATTCAACAGTTGCTGTTGCTATTTCGCATGATGGTCGATATGTTTTAAGCTGCTCCAAAGATGCCACGTTGGTCAAATGTTAGTTTCAAATTAGTTTAAAATAGCCCGTTTTAGCAAATGAAGCCCAAGTAAGGCAATGACTGGGCCCTGCATATTCTTTAGTGGATTGCTGTTGTTCTGTATTTGGTAAGTAAGTTTATTAGCTGCAATGACAGGGCTAGTATGTGTAATTAGTGAGTCAGGTTTCACATTTCGAAAGTTAGCTTTTTACTTAAAATTCGAATCTGACGATTTTTACGTCTCTGACTTAACGATTTTCAAATTGAATCTGATAATAAATGCACCGATTTTGGCAACTTAGGAATCGCATAGCTTATTGTGGCAGGTGGCCGTTGACGGATTCCGGGGGAC